GGGGGGGGGGCCCCCGGGGGGGGGCCCCTATGGAGGAGAGGTTGAGAGGCAGCAGCAGCACTACCACCAGCAGCAACAATACAGAGACAGAGAGAGAGATAGATATAGAGATAGAGATATAGATATAGATAGAGATAGAGAAAGAGAAAGAGAAAGAGAAAGAGAGAGAGATAGAGAAGGAGACAGAGAAAGGAGATGGGGGGACTATCAACGAGAGACAGATTATAAATACAGAGGAACGGGGAGCTGGAGACAAAGCAGAGACAGAGATGACAGATACTACTAAACCCTAAACCCTAAACCCTAAACCCTTAAAACAACACAACTCAGCCGCCGCGTTTTGGTGGTTTGTTTATTTGTATTTTGTCGTTTTCTTTTTGGGGTTGCACAGGCATCAGCAAGGGTTTAGGGTTTAGGGTTTAGGGTTTAGGGTTTAGGGTTTTTCTGCTTCTCCACAGATCAGCGGCTAGGGTTTAGGGTTTAGACGCAGCAACACGCAGCAACTATAGGTTGCAGCCGCGTGAGATACTTAAGGGTTTAGGGTTTAGGGTTTAGTTGAGCCGCCAGCTCGCTCTCAGCCTGTGCCAGCTCTGCTGCTGCCTGCTGCTGCTGCTGTGCAAGCTGTCTCGCGTCTTGTGCTTCCTACAACATAGATGTAGCTAGGGTTTAGGGTTTAGGGTTTAGGGTTTAGGGTTTAGGGTTTAGGGTTTACCTGCATTTCTAGGGGGCTCAGTCGCTCCTTTTCTTGTATAGATATACTCGGTACTGGACCGTCTGCCCTGGAGAAAAAAAATTAGGGTTTAGGGTTTAGGGTTTAGGGTTTAGGGTTTAGGGTTTAGGGTTTGTGTCGGACACCAGGGTATTTCGTTTTGCCCATTCGAACTCCTCTCTGGACCTACGATGAGAAAAATTAGGGTCTAGGGTTTAGGGTTTAGGGTTTAGGGTTTAGGGTTTTACTCTTCTTCCTCTTCTCTCAGCTCCCTTTCTGTTGGCGGTTTCTCTCCCTGCAGCGAGAAAAACAAAAGATGAATTGTTTTAAGGGTTTAGGGTTTAGGGTTATTATAATTTATAATAAAATAATAATAATAAATATTATAATTTATTATTTTTATTTTATTTATTCCTTCTCTCCTTCGTCAGCACTTTTATTTGATATATTGGGGTGTATAGGCAGCTCGTGCATTGCCTCTGAGTTTTCATTTATATTTTCGTTTTCTTTTGTTTTTTT